ACTAGTGAGTTCATACTAAAGGGTCTAACATACTAGATGACTCTTTTAACACATTTTTTCCATCCATTTCACTACAACTGCTACCATTACCAAACCATCAGTCCCACAGTGTCTGTTTTCCAGTTTGAAAGTTTTATTATAAATTTTGGCTATTTGTCCTTATTTTCACATTTAGTTCAATCAGAAATCAGGGATAGAGATTACCCAGCACCCTAAATTAACCACACAAAACTCAATGAATTTAGTTATCTATTGTGATAGCAATACTTTTTCCTTTGTATCTCACTTCCTGCTAGAGCCTTTTCCCTTCTGCAATGTCAAATATAATCATTGTCACTGAACACTAAAGCAAATTATACTTTCAGTTTAAGAGCCATACCTAGTTACCTTTTGTTCCTATTGTGTCCTATCTGCATACTAATTATAAACTTTTATTGCTGGCTTTCTTCTCTATTTGTTTCAGTGTCTTTTTCTTTTTTTTAATATATATATATAAGCATATATATGTGTAAAAAAAGAAGCTTGACTTTAGACAATTTTTCAAACTTCTACTACACCCATCTCTATCTTTGTATGAACATGTATGTTAAAAAAAAAGTCATATTTTCAAAAGCTAGGGATAAGACTAAGCAAACACGTTTCTGTCGATACACATGCCCAAACACTGAAATAACTATTTAAACACCAAACACAAATTCTGAAAAGAAAAAGTAAATATTTCCACTTCATTAAAAAAGAATATTGAGAAAGTAACTAGAACATGACATCATTAAAACAGCATAGGAAGGAAGCTGGTTTTTTTATTCTACTGCATCTTCTCCCTTTTGAATGATGTTTGGTTTATTATTTGATTTCTGGGTAAAATAGATGAACAGAGTCCCAGTGCTTTTGTTACTCTCAGCCTGCTCAGATGACTAACCAGTTAATGTCAAAATTCCTTTCTGATGCCTTCTCTGGCTCCGGGCTTCTACAGAATAAATATTTTGACCTATTAGTAAACAACCTCTAAAATGCCACAAAAGATGGCTCTTACAAAGCATCAGACAACTCTGCATGAAACAGAACCCTTGTGCAAGATCTGTGTATTTTAATTCTTAGCAGAGGTAAACTAGGATCCTACTAGCTTGGGTGGTTCTTTGCTGCTTGATCAACTTTCATCTCATTACGCCCAGCATCAGCTTGCAGGATTAGCTGATAGTCGATGGTGTGTGAGGCTTGACAGAGAAGAGGAAAAAAAACCTATTAAATTTGATCTTGCAGTTATCCCCAGAGAGCAACAAATTAATTTACCCCCTTATTAAGGGGGTTACTGAGGGCAAATCTATCTGCATTTAACTACTGTCTGCCTCTTTTGTGCATGGATATTACCGATTACAGCACCATGTTTTAATGCACTATTAGCCTAAAACCAATATTTGGGGACCCATTATATTGGCAGTTTAGTTTTCCTAACTGTGTTCCTGTGAGAAAAAGTAGTGAGAGAAATATGAAGATTAAATTATTAAGATACAATTCATTTTTCTGATTCTAAGGCATGATTCTTTTATGCTGCTTATGCCAGCTAATGAAAGTCAGATTTAATTAGTTTTTGGGATTTGACACAAAAGGGCTTACCAGCTTTCACAAAGGACTGTAGAAAAACATTTTCTGAAAGAAAAACCTTGCTAGCTATGATCTGAAAATGTAAGACAGGAGAAAGATGTGACCAAAGTGGTTGGGCACATAGGAAGGAATTATTTTAAATCTCAACTGAAATTTATTTTGACACAACACATTTTTAATAACAAATATTACAGCTGTTTCTCTGTCTGAAGACCTGAAAATCTGGCTACAGAACAAAGAATGGCTGAGGCAGAGTTTAGGTATGTGAAGCTAATATGAATCTGACTTTCTTTTTGGCTCCCTGTCCAGAATAGATTGAGCTAAAATCCCAGGACTTTTGGGGCAAACACGATGAGCCTTGTGGTTATCAAATTCTTAGTCCAAATTTTATAGTTCAGTTTCATTCCCAGTAATCAAGGCGGTCAGAATTCCACTTTTTAAATTCAGTAGTGAATTGTTTTACAGATCCAAGGTTATGAATATTTTTCCAGCATCTTTTTTTTATTTTTGGGGGGGATGGTGGTGGTTATTATTTCAATATACTCATATCGTGACCTCTGAAGTTTATTACTTAGCCACAAATACATATTCCAACATGAAAAATATGGGATCATTTATATTTTAATTAACAATCTAATGTAAATTCTTTTATCTTTCAGCCCTATATACACGTATTGTCATAGCCAAATATATTTGCATTTATGCACTGCATCTTGCTGTCAAACTTCAGTCACCTGTGTCCACTGAAAAAATGAACTTTAATGTCAACTCAGCAAACTCTCTACTCTCCCATGTTACCTGTAACTCAAAAGTCCCAAGTGATGCGGCATTTGGAAAAATACATCATTTTAGGACTGCCAGTATGGTCTACTGGACACTTTGGCTAAGTTTATACTAAAACATTAAAAAGTGCTAGGACCCAGGCCAGACCACTGGAACTCAATCATCTATGCAGCTAAACAGTCACTGGCATATCTGAGAGTCAACTGAGAGTCAGTTATGTCTCTCCTAAACAATTTGCAGGCACTATTTGGAGAGTAGCATGAGTCAAAGACCATTCCCACTTGGCATTTAGGATGCAACTATTCTGTTAGAGGATAAAATGATTTTACAATGTCAGTGTAGTTGTATCAGTTGGGCCTGAGGCCAGAAAATGGGTTCTGGTATTGTTTTGTTTCTGTGACAGAGGTAGCTTCCGAGGCCATGGGAAATGTCATATTAGGGTTGGTGACCTATTTGTTTGGGCGTATTTGGCAAACAATCATCTAAATGATAAATAATCGCTTTCTGACAACATTTTTTAAGTAAAAAAAAAAGCCAACTTATTTATTGGGAAAATGAATGCCGGGCTTGAACTTAAAAAAAAAAAGGGGTTTTTTTTTTAAGTAATTTGAAATAAAATTAAAAGGCATCTAGTAACTGGAATTTTCAAGGGAATATATATGATCTGAGTGTCCAACCATATTTTGCTGTCTGAAAATATCACACAGACCCACAATTATTTATAGTTCTTTCAAGCTACAACGTTAGAAAGGGTCTGCAGGTTACCTTCAAGAAAGATTCATGCCAAAAGCCAAAAATCTCTGTCCTAATAGTAGTTGTCACAATTTTTAAAAGATTAAAATGACTTCAGAGTTTTAAAAAAGGAATATCACTGGATCCTAACTAATATATAGGAGCACATGTGTACAAAAACTTGCAGAATACAATATGGACAGAATATGTTAAGAATAAAATCACTTACACATAAGCTAATGCTGCTTGACAAAACAGCAAGGTTTTCTGTTGCATCACTTTTTTTAATAATAGGTTTGGGTTAAGTTCATTAGTAATGAGAGGGAAGAAAGTTGAATGGAAAATTCTCACTAATTTAAGTCCACCTTGGAAAAATAAGCTGAAGGAATGGTCGAGTTGGAAAACATTAAGGAACAATGGTCATCATGGCGATGAATAAAGCCAGAAGCCAGGAGAGTTGAATGCCCGATATGTAAGTTTCACAAGCAACATGAGGTGATTTTAACCCTAGTGAAATTAATCCTGAAGACACAGGTTTTATCTCTTACCATACATTTGCACTCTGTTATTATTATTTAATTATTAGAAAGAAGTAGACAATGTCTCCACATTCTTTTGAGTGGGACATGTTCCACACACTTATTCAAATTTTGGGGCCCCTAAAAGAAAAAAGCCTTGTTATGTTGCCACTTTGATTTCTGCTGAACTTCCTTTGATTACAGACCATACCACCTTGGTGGTCACCACTGATAAATGCCTTTACAACTACTCTCAACAAAGCACTGACAGGAGTCTTGGCAGGGGATAGGGATCTTTAAGATAAAAATCTAATGAGTAGGATTCTCTGGAAGACCCCAGACCACTACATTACCTTAAAAGTGTTTAGTGTAAATAATCAAACACAATCATTTACTTCTTACACCCCACATATAATAGTCAAACTTGTCCACATGGGCAGCTTCCTGCACGTGATTTCTGCAACGTCATTACTGGTCAATGATCCTAAATGCCTTTGCAAATATAGGGAAAGGCATTTAACAATGCTTTTCTGGAGCAATTTGTTGTAAACACCGCTGGGCAGGTAAAGGGATAGATATATCGTGTTTAGGAATCATAGTAGAATTGAATCACACAACAAAGGACCTTTGACTTCCTGCGATTGTCGTATGTTCTCATTAGTCATCCATATGAATTACAGATTAATATTTAGCGGTGCACATACCTGCACTTCAAGAAAAAGCTTTGACTATAAACCATTCTAAATTTTGTCTTTCTCAGTCTCTAGATGCTTTAGTAACTTTTAGACTTGATCTTATACTATTTATCCATTTCTCCACTTTTGTAAATATGTACAGAAAACTTTGGATTTTTTACATTTACAAATGTAACCTCACTTGCTAATGAATTCTTAAAGTGTGTGTGTGCGTAGTATTGAAAAAAAACAACAACTCAGAAATACTACTTGAAGAAAAAATCTGGGACTGGCTTATATATTCTGTAACAGCTCATAAAAAAATCAAAATCTGTGTCTGCTGCTATTAAACACTACTGTACTCATTTGACCTTAAAAATGCCTGACTATTCCAGTCTCTGGGGAAAATATAATTCTCAAGGATTCTGCTACAGGAGGCAAGTCATTTATAAAAAGTAATGTATTTTACATTTATTATAGAAGTTATAGAAGTTTTATGGAAGTTATAGAAGTGTTATAGAAGTTTGTGGGGTTTTTTGACTAGTTAGAACAAATTGGAGTCTACCAGTGTTTTGGGTATGTATAAGTCATTAAGTAGGCAGTATATATTACTATACAGGTATTTGCTTTTAATCAAGACTTAATTATTTTTGAGAATACTTGATTTTAAAAAAACTTTTTGAACACCTACTTGAGGTCTTGGGAAGGTTCTGCTCTGATATGGGGTGTCTCCACAGAGTGCCCAAACACTGCCCCTTCCGTGCCTAAAATACATAAATAAAACACAGTACAGTTACTTTGGAAAATAAAAACATATTGAAATGTATGACCACAAATTGACATTTTTAGGACAAAATATCTGATTGAATCCTTTATTAATCATTATCAATGTTTCTTCATATTTATGTTTGAATTTCTATATCAAAATCTGGACCCTCATGTGAAACTTTAGACTTCTGCTTATCGGTAGATGAATTTCACATACAAATCTGAAAATGTTTATAGATCCAAACTTTTCAGCACTGAGTTGCCTGAATGCTCATCTCAACACTTTGGAGATGGATTGTTTTACAGATAAAGAAAAGAATATCACAGGGTTTTTTGACACAAACACATTTTATAAGTGTCTACTATTTTTTGCATGATGCTTATTTTGATTACTTAAATTGAGATGCCAAGCTTTCAAAAGTTTTGAAATAAGAGTCTACCACCTGAAGTTGCTAGCCTGAATCTCAATATCTGACAGCTTCAGAGTTTCCTTCCATTAGACCTTTCTCATTGAAAACTTCTGTTCTCAAAGAAATTAGAGACTTATCTGGAATGCCCTTTGGTTTTAGTGTTGTTAGTGGATGCTCATGTATCTCTTACTGGGCACTCAAAATCAAAGCAAAGAAAATGGGTAACTATTTCCTAAAACTGAATTGATTCTTATTGAATTATAATGTCTATAACTAGGTCCAAGTTGCATATGATAATTCCACATTTTTAATTACATAGCCAAGATTTTTCATTGAAAAACTACTTTGCAATGAAAAAAATAGGGTTCTGATAAATGTTCACTGAAGTTATTTGAAAAAAGACAAATATTTACATAATCTGTTTTTTAAATGCAATTTTTTTTAAGGAGAATGAAAAAAGACCAAAAAATTTGATTAAGATCTGATTACAGCAAGTTCTTTGTTAGAATAATAGAAAACTCAAGAAACTAGTATGTAGTGAACAGCACTATAAAATCAGTATTTCTCATAACTCTCAGACACAAGAATTGAATGCACAACTGTTATTTATACTATTCAGTTTACATTTAATAGATAGCAATAGCCCGCCTATGTTGTTAGGCATTCAAAATTTTGTGTTGTCTTCTTTTTCCCTGAACCCTATTGTCATGTCTATATAAACTTTAGCTTTTTTTTTTTTTGCTTTTTTTTTTTTTTTTTTCATGTTTTTAAAAACTTTTTGTTTTTTTTTTTTTGTTTTTTTTTTTTTTTTTTAACCCAATATCCATGTGTCCGTAGGCCTTTACTTTCTTTCTCTGAAGTTGATGTACTGGGCACTGTGTAACAAAATTAGACTAAAATTATTGTGTGAAAGTCTTTCCAACAGAGAACCGCTAGTAAAGATGAAAGAACTGAATAAAAACACATGCAAAACAGGTAATGCATTTACCTTCTATCACTAGAAACAACATCAAGGAAACCGTCTGGGATAATTATACTTGATTACTAAATATTCTGGGATTAATTGCCATATTTCAAAACCAGAAATTTTCTTATATTCTGAGCCTTGGATTCTGAGAAAACTTAAAAATATACTAGCAATATCTCACAGTAGTTGTGTAAGAAGTGCTCAACAGAAGAAAGGTACCACTCTGTTACAAGATTTTAAATACAATAAAGTATTTTTGATTATTTAAATATTTTATTTAAATATTTCACAAGTATTTTCAGAAATTTTAGCTGTTAATGGAGATAGATATTTTTGCAGTCGACCAATAACATTTAGCAAACTGATCTCATCAGGATTTGAAAGCAGAATGAGGCTATAGAATGTTTAATTGGTAATACCATTTTACAGTGTTAAAGAGAAAATGTCCTGACCAAGAAGCCAAAAATATCTAATTAAATGTTAAACTAAATTACCATCAGAAAATCATCATTAATCATCTTCTAAACTCTACTTTTATTAAAAAACAAAAAAACCAAAGCCAGGAAAAAAAACCCTTCATTGTAAAATACTCTACTGGTATGGAGTATCCAAGAGAAAAAGAGGGGATTTCTGAGAGTAATGAAGTTCTAGGTTTTTACCTCCAGAAATCTATAAGCTTTACAAATATCTTGGCAAAGCATACTGAAAACAATTTCATTACAACTGCTGCTTTGAAGATCTCACAAGAAAACAATCAAATCCAATTTCTATAACCAAACTTTTCTGAGCGTTACAGAGAACCACAGGAGGGAAAAACGAGCATCTTTTTAACCTCAAAGTATTCACAGAGGTGCTGTGCAGAATCTGCTTTTTAAATCTGACATTGCTTTGTAATTCCGTTACCTTTAAGAGACAGGAATAGCATGTCTGTATAGCCAGGCTTTCTGTTACTCAAAATAAATCTCACCCCCATCTATAATGGCATGCAAGAAATTCTATGGGAGCTGAATACCAGAAATCAAAGAATGTGCTTCCAGATCCCGTTCACCTTTTTCATCAGTAAAATTTAACACTCTCAAGGCCAAGGGCTTTTAGTATTTTTGTAGGTGCCAACGGGATATGAAGACATAAATAACTGAGCAGGATGCAGAATTGCCAGTCTTTACTTATGAGAAGACCACTGCTGTAATATTTGAAAGAGCAGAATTAATGCAAAGATGTATAAAACATCACTGTAGTATGGGTAAGACACTAAATCAATCAGAAGTGCCAAAGATAATATCAGGCAAAGACTGATAACAAAAGAGAAATGACAGCTGGTTCTAAGCCAGCATTAGTATTTTCTCACTTTCTGCAGCATTTGTTTAAAAGATGAAAAGGTGTTTCTCCCCTTAGAAAATAGAAATTTGGAAAGAAAGACCAAGTCTGTCCAAGCAGACTGAAAATCCAGGCAGGCAGAATTAAAGATAAACTGATATAATTAAATAAAATATAATTAAAACTCAAAACAAACCAAGCATGCTCCTTTTGCTATTTGAAGATATAATCCCACAGACTTTTTTTTCTTCCCATATGGCCTCAAAAGTGAAAGTATAACAGTTCTTTGTGGTAAATGCTTTATCTTCATAAAAATATGCTATCAACTAGTTCAATAATATCTCCAATTCTTTTTATTTTATACTGGAAGAAAAGCAGGAACTTACAATTATCTTGTTTGTAGTAAGAAAGGTGAAAAAGATCAGCCAGCTAGAATGTACTGATGTGTTTCCAGCAGTTAAAAAGCAGGATCAAGAAAAATGGAAAGGGATTGTACAGCTAATAAAAGACATGGATCAGCATTACTTAAAAATACAGAATAGAAGAAAAGTTACAGGAAGTTATTCTTTATTTTTTAATTTACTATATGTAAATCTGTGGTGCTTTGATGGGAAGTTAGATCATGTAGTCCGGTACTGCTTAGGAAATAGTGCTACAAACATATTTTTCTATGCAATAATTAATATAACAATATAAATCAGGATTCAAAGTGAATAGCATGACTTTTTTAATGAAAGAAATGTACTTTTTGTATTTAGTAATTTACAATGTTAAACCACGTTTTTTACAGAGATAAGACAAGGATCATTTAACTGTATTCCCTGACTACAGAATCATAACCAAGACCTACTTTGAGATGAGTGAAATTCTAGAGAGAGATGAATGAATACAAAAAAAGAATAAAAAGAAAAGACTTGAACCTTCAAGCCCTTTCAAGTACAGCTTAAAAGGGAGTAGTTAGGGAACTGGATTCAAAGGAACATGAGTTAGAACGGATAGCTATAAAAAGTGAACCTTTCAGAGGAAATAAAATAGCAAGGGCAAGGAGTATGTGCCAAGGATGTAAAATCAAAACTGTAAGTATAACTGAATAAAATTACTCCCACCTCCAGCTTCCAGTGGAAGAATGAGTTAAGTAAGACTTTGTTAAGAAAGAAGCATCTGGAAGACAAACTACTAGTCAAAGAATACCAGTCGCTATAGAGGTTGCTGGAGATAACTCAGTAAATAGCACAAGTCAGGTAAAAAGGCCAAAAGTCCAATTATGTATTTATAGAGAAACCTCTTTATGCATAGCAGATTTATAAACTGCAGACCTTTAAGACTTACTTTTTTGACACAGAGCAAATCAAAGTGACCCTTTCGCTACAAGCAAAATTAGTCACAAGTTCCTGCTGAAACTGAATATTCAGAATTCAGAGACACCAGTGTAAGCTACTCATTTCTGCTCAATTTACTGGTTCCTGAAATTCAGCCTCTGGGAAATGACAAGTTTCATAAAAACAATGGAAGTACAATGTTGGCATTTGGTGCCAGATTATATTTGCTTATGTATGCGCATGCTGAGGAAATTTTGTCATTTATTTAACCAGCAAATAATGCTTTTGTAATTTATGAGCTAGCTCACACAACACTGGTACCTTTCAGTGACTTAATAACAAACTAGCATGAAAAGACCCGCACCTGAGCATATTGATTAGTAGAGCTAATTTTTTTTGTGAAAAGAATGCTGGCTGAAGAGTTGATGAGCTAAGAATCAAAAACTAATAAAGTATTTTGCTGTGAAAAATGAGCCACAAATTAGCATTATCCTACTTCACTTAAGTCTTGTAAGCATATCACCTCAAATGTACTGACAAGGGAGCTGTGCGGCATTTTGATGTGTACAAATTATATGGCATTGCAGCATCACAGGCACAGTTGAATCTTACTGCCTTGATCTTTCTCTAGGTTTTTCAGGAACGTCAAGTAACAATATGATAAATTACTAAGATTATGCAAGTATTAGACTGTAATGCCAATTTGTCCTCTGAGTTAGAGACTTTAAAGAAGAGTTTGTAAAATATTTATCATTTTTGAAGCTTGCAATTTTACTTGTTGCAAACTCATTATTAAGTTAAAGCATCCACAGGTTTTCGCAGAGAAATATGAGTAATTAATCAAGATTGCTTTACCGTTGAAGAGACCTTGAAAACATAGACTTTATGTTCTAAAAGTTTACTTGCAATAAAGAAAAAACAAGTCTTAATTCTTTTACCATGTGTACATAGCTAAAATTTAAAAGTGCCTTTGTGAGATTAGC